AATAGCAACCCTGCCAAGATTGCGAAGAAACCGCCACCCTCCTGTACCGCCAAAGACAGATAGATGTTCGTGTGATTTGTTGAAAGCCATTGGGCACTATAGGTAGTAATGAGAATGTTAAAATATATATATATATCTCCCCACTCCTGGGAATTTGCCCTTTGGAAACAATGCAAAGCAAAGGGAAAATCTCTCGGAGGAAGTTGGCATCGCTTGCATTATTATGGCAGCATTATTTATAACAGGTTATACGCAACAGTAAATTATTATCTCATAGAGGCCGGCCACGTGATGAAATATTACATAGTCTTAAAAGGACTTTAAGGTTCTGACATAATGTTGAGTGAAAAAAGCAGATGTAAAACCCTTTAATGTTGTAAAATTATGAGGGAAAAGACTGGGAATACACAAAGATTAAAATAAGCTCCTGTTCTTTTCTGGTTTCCAGACTTTTCTAACTCAGTCGGAAGTATGTTGAAGCCTCCGAGCCCAGTCGGTCAGATGGCAGGCTCGGAGTCAGAGCACACTGTCCGGCCGGTCGGTTTCCTGACGTTTCTTTAAAGAATGTAGTATATCGTTCAGATATACTACATGAAGCTTTGAACTACAACCTGCTGCTTTGGCTTGAGTGAACAGGTAGGACTGGACAGGGGAAGGGAAGAAAGAATCTGTCCTTTCCTTATTATCTCACATTTTAAATAAAGCCAAAATCACAGCCACATAGACCTCCAGAGTCACACCCTGCCTTTCTCATCAGCGGCACTGAGTACTTTTCCTAGGACACCTGTTTTGAATTCAAGACACACAGTAACCTTCATCTAATCCAGTTCTGAATCCAACACCTCAGGTATGTCACTGCAAGTTCTTCCTGTAAGGAGGGCATAACATGCTCCCGGCACAACAAGGCTGACCAGTGAACAACTTCTTGGTGAACAGGGGAAATCGGGCTGGGTCCTGCAATATTTGGAGTCCAACTGTTCCTTCTTAAAACTCTGGCCCTAAGACACCTCATAAAAAGTCTGTAGATGTCCCATAATTTAGCATTAACTTCTTTTCTAAAATAGGGTGTAAAGGAATGAACTGTCAGCAGAAGATAACGTTCCACTCTGGCGCTGCTTCTGCTCAAGAAAGCCAAAACCAGCTGGTCGGCCGATGCACGCAAAGGACAGGGACAGCATGATTTCATTTGCCAAAAGCGGGGCTCACATTATGACATTCGAGGATGAAGTCATCTTTATTCCTATCGTTGCACCACTAGAAGCTCCTCGTGGGGCAGATAACATTATTTACTGTTGGCATAGCGCCACCACCTGAAGATAAACTAATTCAAGGCCACTCCATGTCCTTTCTAATTCTATCTGCTCTAATTTGATTTACTTGATTAAATTATTTTATGTGCGCAATTTTAGAGGTACCTTTTATTCCCCTTCGGAGAACAAATTATCACAGAAAATTATGAGAAGATGTCTCTGTAACCCTAACATAACAAGGACGATGCTAAACAAATATGGAATGCACATGTGTATTCTAATTTTCTCTGGCCTTGCCTCCATGTCTGGAATGAGGAGGGAGAACAATGCATGGAAAGCTCCCGGCGTACTGGCTGGAAGACCCTGAGAGCTCACTGGTTCTCTAGCCCTGGACGAGTCGGGCAGCATCAGCCCCACCACGAGAATGGAAAGCTGAAGCCCACGGTCAGTCAGGGGTGAACGGAAGTCCAGAACCCAGGTATAACAGAGGAAATCCAGGCGAAAAGCTGCCTCATGATCTTCCACACAGGAAAAAGAAAACGAAATTCTCCTAAAAAAAAAAATTACTCCATTATCACTCCCCTAAAAATTCTTTGACATTTTTAATAATACAGCATGTTTATAATATTCCAGACTTGTCTCGAAAAATCTAAAATCTTCTAAGGTTAGGAAAGATTCTACTGCCAGGTGATACAGGAACAGATAATGGCAACAAAACTAACAGTGTATGCTAACCCTGTTCTGGGCAGTACGTGATTAAACCATTTTATTCTCACAACAACCTTAGAGCGATTATTATTGTTATTTTCCTGATGAGGATCCTGAGGCAGCACAGAGAGATTGAGTCACTTGCCCGAAGATCGGCAGTGAAGAGGTGGCAAGGCCAGGATCCCAACACGGCAGTCGCTTTACCGCTGTGCTCTGCGGCCTCTCACAGCTTAAGTTCGCCCGAGGGGAAGCCAAGGTCAGCTCCCCTCTGAAACACCGCTGAACACACCCTCTATTAGGGGAACACAGGGAACGGGGCTGCCTCAGAAACATGACTTGGTGGTCCCAGGGGATGAAAAAACACTGGCCACAACTGTCCTCACGAGTTCTCCCCAAATTTTATTCTTGATAGTGAATGAAGTTAAGAGGCAACACTAATAAATAAAACGCCAAAAGGTCCTGGCAAATAGAACTTTCTTTGCTACAGAATGGCTGGGAAATGAGGGGGGAACCACTGAATGGCTGACTGCCTCTGCCCAGCATAAAGGAACACATGAAGGAACAGAGCATGTGGAATCTTCTACTTCAGAGGGCTGCCTGCCCAGAAAATCAAAGCATCACTGACCTAAGCTTGCCCCAGTCTTACACTTCTTTCAGATTCTATTTCCCTAAAATTTCTGTTTTTAATTTAGAAGAATTCTTAAAAGTCATTTAAGTTCAAAACTAAAAAAAAAAAAAAAAAGTCCAAGCGGATATCTTCGGCATAGCACCTATTATCTTGCCTCAAAAAACCCCTGAACTTCCACTAAGCCCAGGGATCGCTTAAGGAAGGTCATTTTCCCCCAGACTTCTCTTTAATCAACAGATAATTTCTTGAGTAACTACTACAGTCAAAACAGACGCTTGACTCATTCACTCTCCGTCACTGCTAGTGCCCAGCTGGGTCTGAGAGGCTCAGAGGGGTTTCCCATAAAGGAAAACTCAGACTGGAAAAGCGGCCAGAAAGTGAAAGTCATCTACGTATCCTGGGATTGAACCCTAGGCAAAGGATGCCTCCCCAAGCTACTAAGAGCTATGGGTCTCCTGGTCAAATTCTTACAGAGCGCTTTCTACTTGTAAGCGTGTGAGAAACTACACAGTTCTGTATTTGTTTGCAGCAGCCTGGGATAATGAAGTGAGCAAGTGCTGAACTAGGTAAAGAAAGAGCTAAGTGCTAAGCCCTGGCTTTGACCCTAACTTCCTAGACGCCCTTAAGCTCTCCCTTCCTGGGCCTCCAGTTTCTTCTCAAAATCTAACATCCTACAATCAAGATTTCCCCAAAACCACAAAAAAGTATATATTTGTTTTAAACCCCATGATCATATGAGTCTCCTTGATGGTCCAGCCGGAGCACTCAGTGGCGAACAGGTGGTTATAAGTGAACACAAAAGGAAGTATACCCACATTTGCCAGTTTCCACATCATGAAAGACACGTGTTAACAGATGAACCGCCCTTCCCCCAGCTTGGGGAAGGCAGCCCTGACATAATAGGGCTTGACGACAGCTGGAGAGTTAGGTGCAAAATAAGGGTCCCTAAGTGGCGAGGGCTATGGAGTCAATGAGAACAGTTTCACTGGGGTATGCAGAATTCTCTGCTGCTGAGCAGTGGCTACCAAAGAGGCAGACAGTGAAAATAACATGGATTTTAAAAGCAACCTTCATGATCATTTCCCTAAAGATCACATAATAAGTTCTGAATAACATAAAAATTCCTTTCTCATAGCAGCCTTCTGATAGAACCATTTGACGAGATGGCCGAATATCTTCCTGAATTCCCAGACACCAGAATCCATTCTGGGGCAGGTCAAATCCACCCATCCCTACGGTCCTCACCCTACTCTCCCTGCCTCTTAAAATGCAGTTAGATCCTCGTCGCATATATCAATATACAAAAGATTTATGAAAAAAAACTACATCCAGTCTGTACATTTATAAAATCACGAAAACTAACAAGACTTTGGTAGTTCCTCTCTACTCTAATCCTTATGGAAACAGAAAATCTGGAAAACTGATGGGAAACAAAGCTGTGATCGTTGTCAAAGTCTTGCAAGATTTCTAATCATCTCAAACAATCTCCCAGGATACACCTCTGGGTCTGAAGCGGGAAATAACCAATGTCAAGCCTAGGTTAGAAGTCCAGAGAACTCAGCCAGGGGTAGAGCTGATGGGAGCTACTGTTATTGGTAAAAATAAGTGACATCTCCCAAGAATCCTGGGCTAAGTGCCTTTGTTTACATGATCTTTTATAATCCCCACAAGAACACCACGAAAAAGGAACTGTTATTATGCTCCTTTTACAGATGGGGAAGTGGAGGCTGAGCAGTGAAGGAACTCAGTAAAGAGCAGAGCCAAAGAGAAGGCAATCCTGCTACACACAAGTTCAGCACACCTCCCGGGCCCCATCCTGCCTCCAACTTCCTCTGCCTGAGGGTGTGAGCGCAAGGTCTCTGGCTCACGCACTCTCTGCTCAGGTGGCCTTCTTGTCAGTGTCTGGTTACCACTTCCCACGCCACCGGCAAACCACTGACTGACAGATGGGAGAAACCATCCCAGACAGTCTCAGGGGCTACACGACCTGCTCCAAGCAGGTCGGCTGGGAGTCCCCAGCAGACCTTTGTCATAACCATTGAGGTAATGCCTCCCAAACCCAAATGTACACTATGCCGGCACACAGTCCACCTAAGTACAAATGGAGACCAACCCTTTTGGCGTAGGAGAACGGGAATAATTAGCTGGCTTCAGGGCACTGAGGGTATAAACAGATGTATACTATCCCTCCTGCTCAGAAGATGTTAAAACGTTTCCCAAATATTGAGCCATCTATTTTCACAAGGTGCCATAATCACCACCAAATTCTCCTTAGTATTAAGGAATATAAGTAAAGTTTTGCAGCCAGAGGCCGACAAGTTGAAGGTTTCCCAGAGGTTGATCACAGTTCTCTACCATCTGATTTGAAATTTTAAAAAATTATCAGCTGAAACGAACACATGGTTCTCACTTACCCTTTCTATCTCTTGGAGGTACAGAAGTGCAATGTCCCCTGCTTTCTCATAACAGGTGATGACATCCTGTTCCCGGTCCACATGGAGATTACTGGTAGAAGAGGAAATAGGCAACTTCTCTAAACTAAGTCCTAAAAAAGGAATCAAACACAAAAACTAAGTGAGTCGCACAGTCTGCAAGTGGAAGGGGCCAGAGAAATTTTCTGAGGCTTAATTTTTTGAAATATTGCTCTAGAGGGCTAGAAAATGGACCCAGGATGTGATAAACAGTCAGAGAAACTGTCAGACAAACTGTCCTCTGCTCTCTCTCTTTGAGGACAAAATGGAACATCAAAATGGAGCACCAAAAAGAACATCCATAAGCCATAGATGAAAGAGGCCCCTAAAAACACACAAAGCACCATTTGATTTTGATATTCAGGTACACGGCTTGATCAGGTACTTCACTGTGACCCCACTCAGACCTAACCAGCTTCTCAATCAATCATGTCCCAAGGTCTTTAAAGAATTTTTAAAGGTAAGTAAAGATAGGCTCACAGCACAATACTAGCTGAAGAATATTTTCTATCCCAAAATGTACACTTAACCTATTGAACATAAAAAAAAAAAAATTTAAATGCTCTCAAGAGGCTTGGTTACTAGGAAAATCTTCCAACTCACAGCCTTAGAGGCTGGAGTAACCGTAACGCCACAGACCTCCTTCTCAGTTCTAAGCTAAGGAAACACCCAGAACTTTGCTTTATGGGCATTTCCTCAGAGATGGAGGACATACTCTGTGCCAAGAGAGGTTTCAGGGCTGGGAGGTATGAAAGCAAAGGCTGAAAAAAAAAATAACAGTGCTGAGAGAGGCGGCTGTGGCTTGAACCCAGCACCGACCTCTGCCCCTGTGCTGGGCAACCAGCCTGTGGGGAGGATCACCAGTTCCCCTTCACACACGAGGGCTTCTGCTGCTTCAGGTGCCCTGGGGCACATGGACACACATGTCCCACACGTTCCATTCCATGGAAAAGTGTGAGAAGGGTCACTATTGACACGGTGTGCAAGTGGAAGTGGCCAGAGAAATTCCCCGGACAACCCACCCATTCTACAGATGAAGAAGCCGAGGTCCGCCGTGGCAGATTTTGTGGCTTGCCCCAAATCTGACGGTTAAAGGCACAACTGGAATCAGAACCCAGGCCTTCACCCTCCCAAACAACACCCCTCAAGTTAGTTACTGTTTTCAGAGTGGACACCACTACAGAGAGGGGCTCAGACACACTACGCATCGGAAAGTGGCCCACCACCTCACGTGCATCACTTTGAGAATGGCCTCGTCCAAGTTACTCAGAAACAGCGGAGTCCCTCCAGGCTGTAGAAAGCCATGGGAGATGGTCGTACTGCATGGGAGCCAGGAGAAACCACCCCTGCTCACGAGGACCCGACGACTGAGGACAGGGCACCTGGGAGCTCAGGTTAGCACTCTGTCATAGGAGGTGAAGCTCGCCAAAGATTTTGAGATTTTTTAACAGCCTTATTGAGGTAAAAATGGCAAGTAACAAACCACTTTTTTTTTTTTCAGTGTTTCGCCATGATGTGGTTTTGTTGTTATTTTATTTTATTTCATTTTATTTTTATCAACTGAAGTCCATAGTTTAGGTTAGGGTTCACCCTTTGTGTTCTGCAGTTCTATGAGCTTTAACAAATGTTCTGACAATGTAAAGGATCCATCACTACTGCATCGTACAAAATAGATCCGCTGCCTTGAAAATGTCCCGCGCTTCTCCTGTTCATCCTTACACCCCTCCTTCCGAACCCCTGGTAACTACTAATCTTTTTACTGTCTCTACGGTTCTGCCTTCTTCAGAACCTCATATAGTTGCAGTCATACAGTATGTAACCTTTCTAGACTGGCTTCCTTCACTTAGCAAGGTGCATTTACGGTCCCTCCATATCTTTTTGTGGCCTGATAGCTCATTTCTTTTTGTTGCTAAATCATATTCCACTGATCTATTAATCTATAAAAAGGCACCTCCGTCACTTGCAAGTTTCGGCAATTATGAACGAAGCTGCTACAAACATTCGCGTGCAGGTCTCTGTGTGAGCGTCGTTTTCAACTCCACTGGGTAAGTACCAAGCAGCACAATTGGATATGTTGGTAAGAATATGTTGGTAAGAAGTAGCTAAATATGTATATTTTATTTACAAATCGATTGTGTCGTTCCAAGGCTTCTACATCCCCGCTGACCATCTATCTACTTGTCCTGTCATTTAGTGAAACGAGAATTGATGTCTCGAGCCTGTCACCGAACATAAATCTACTTCAAATGATATTATACCACTTTGCATATTGTGTACCTCCTTTACAATTGCATATTTCCATTTCTCTCTCGCCAGTCTATCTTCTTCTTATATACCCTTTACTTTTACATAAGTTAATAATCCCACCCGCCATGGTTATTATTTTTGTAGAAATAGCCAAATATCTTTTAAAGACATTTAAACAATAAGCAAAAATTCACAGAGTCATTGATACAGTTACGGTTTCCAAAACTCTTCATTCCTCTGTGTGGATTCATATTTCCTCTTGGTATCATTTTCCTCCTACCTAAAGGGATTCCTTTAACTTTTCTTAAAGTGCAGATCGGCTAATGATGATTTCTTTCAGTCATTGTATGCCTGAAAAAGGCTTTATTTCTGAGAGATACTTTCATTGGGTATGGAATGCGGGGCTGGCAGTTTGCTCTCTCCCTTCTCCTAACCCCCCACCCACTCTAAAGGCATTGCTCTAATGTATTCTCACTTGCATGGTTTCTGACCATAAATCTGCCATAACCTTTAAGTTTGTTCATCTGTGTGTAATGTGTCTTTTCTTCTGGCTGCTTTTAAGATTTTTCTTTTATCACTGGTTGTGAGCAATTTGAATTTATGAAGTGCTCTGATTTAGTTTTCTCCATGTTTCTTATGTTAAGACTTCACTGACCTTCCTAGATCTAAGGATTTACAGTTTTTATAAAATTTAAAAAATGCTCAGCTATTATTTCTTCAAAATTTTTTTGTTACTCTCCTCCCTTCTTAGGAGATGCCAATTATACACATATTAGGCCACTCGAAGTTATACCGCACGCACTTTCCACTTTAAAAAAGTTGTCCTATTTTATTTTGCATGGTTTCTACTGTTATATCTTCAAGCTCACTAATTTTTCCTTCAATGTCTAATCTGTATTTAATCACATCCAGTGTATTTTTCATCTCAGACATTGTTTTTATCTCTGGAAATTTGATTTAGGTCTATTTTTAAATTCTATGTCACTACTAAACTTTTTGAATACAAGAAATACAGTTATAATAATGTTTTAATGTCCCTCTAGTCTCAGGAGCTCAATATTCATTCCCTTTCCATTTAGAGCCAAAGCTGTTCATGCAGTTACAATAAAAAAAGAAAATCACCAAGCAGCCTCTTCGGTGTGAACTCTGTTACAACATCTTGAAATTTCCTTTGAAGGAGAATAGAAGATACACTGAATAAATTCACCACTTGATAGGACAGCACCAGAACCACTCAAAAGCAAGCACTTGATCGGAGCTTCTGAAATGTGCTTTAAGTGCTCATTTATGCAAAATTAAAACCACCAGAACACAACCAAAAGAGACAAATTGTTTCATAACCTGCTGTCTACTGTATAAGAAGCAATCAAACAATGTGCAAGTTGATATCAGGGGTTTAATATAGAGAAAACAAAGTCTGGCCCTTTGTAACACTGCAGGCTGGATTCTGACCATTAATACCCGTGAAGATGACCAAGGCCCCCAGCAACCTGCCAAGCCCACTGAATCAAAGACAAGCCAAATCCAGCTCAATACAGTATGGCTCTCATCTGCATTTTGAGTTCTGAAATATTGAAACAGTCATCTCGGGCTGCAATCTATGGCCATGCATAGTCGGTACGAATATTAAAACCAGTGTTACACAACTTAATCCTCTGCAGTAGGAAGAAACTGGTGTTTTCTGTGGGTTCGTGTTCTACTTAGGCAGCTATGTGGACACTCAAGGTCGGCTGGTAAACGGGTCCCCAGCAAGGAGTCCGTTCTTGGGTAGGAGGGTCTTCATGGTCGATATCGTTCCTTTCCTCCTCCCAAATGCTGTGTGTTCATTCCATGTGCTACTGGGCACATCTCAGAGCAACAGCAGAGTCTTGATTCACCACAGTGAATTTGTGGCTATGCAGCTCAGTTTCAGAATATTCCATTCTCTGTCAGAAGCTGCCTACAGGACCTCTGGACTGGACTATAAAATTTCAAGTGTCTGGGATCAGACCAACCCTGCTTGAGAAGCAGAGTCCTGAGGTTATGGCCCAAACTGGCCCTCATTAAAATGTCAGGTGACACTTTGTCAGTTTAGAAAGCTTTCATCAATAATGTTTTTAGCTACTTTCTTTTTTTCCAGAGATCTGCATGACCAAAAAAAAAAAAAAAAAAAAAAAAAAAAAAAAGAACAGACTGGATAAATAACTAGTGTGACAGTGATACCCAATGAACATCTGAATAAGATCTACATCACAGCGCAAAATCAAAGCTGTGTACAAAAAGGGTAAAAATTCAGTGCTTTATAATGAATCATCAAGGCCAAATTCAAAGCATGGGCGAAAAAAGTGGCTGACCACATGCTGTGATTTATAGAAAGCTGAGTAGCCACTGGACCCAAAATTTATCTCCCTGCCACAGGAGGGAATTCCCACAGATAGACTCACTTCCGGATGGTCTTTTCTAAGAAGGGTGACACATTTTAAATAAGTTAGTGATAAGAAAATCATTTAGATCATACTTGACTGCTTTTGAAGCTCATCCATGTTGATTTGCCTATTTGGTCCTCCTGTTCAATAGGTACTACCCTCCTTCCGACAATGTGGAAAAAGAAACCGTCAGAAAAGTTAAGCGACTTGCCTAAGGTCTGTGCAGGGGCTGGAACTGGAAATTGTAAGGGAGCCAGGAGCTGGGGCCAATGTATCCTGTCCCAGGTAATATTCTAAGAGGAAACTGCTGCTGAGCCTGATGCAGGGTGGAGTGTCAAAGGCAAAGATACTCTACAGATGCCAGTGAAACCTCACAGTGGGGGAGCACGAGGCAGCTGGGGAGAAGGCTGAGGACCCTGGAC